GGACCCCAGTAAACCTCTTCCCCCAGCCAAACCTGTCATCACCCAATGAGCTCAAGAACAAAGTGGCCATGGTGGCAAGGAAGGAGGTCATATGGGGGCTCAGTAATATGAACATCCACTCACCAAAGCCAACTTGGCTACAACCATGGCTGAGTGTCCAATTTGCCAGCAGCAGAGACCAACATTTCGTCCCCAACATGGCACCATTCCCTGGGGTGATCAGCCAGCTACTTGGTGGCAGGTTAATTACACTGGATCACCTCCATCATGAAAGGGGCAGCATTTTGTTCTTACTGGAATAGATACTTTCTCTGGATACAGACTGGCCGTCCCTGCACTCAATGCTTCTGCCAAATCTGCTATCCGTGGACTTACAGAAGGCTTTATCCACCATCATGGTATTCCACACCACATTGTTTCTGATCAAGAAACTCACATTACATCAAAAGAAGGGTGGCAGTGGGCCCATGCTCATGGAACTCACTGGTCTTAACATGCTCCCCAACATCTTGAAGCAGCTAGTTTGACAGAATGGTGGACTGCCTTTTGAAGACTTAGTTACAGGGCCAGCTGGGTGGCAGAACCCTGCAGGGCTGGAACAAGATTCTCTAGAAGGTTGTATATACTCTGAATCAGTGTCCAAAATATAGTGCTATTTCTCCCACAGCCAGAATTCACAGGTCTAGAAATTAAGGGATGAAAGTGAGAGTGGCACTACTCACTGTTACCCCTAGTAAGCAAGGAAAAAAATGTCCATTCTCCTTATTCTTTTTTTTTTTTTTTGTGGTACACGGGCCTCTCACTGTTGTGGCCTCTCCCGTTGCGGAGCACAGGCTCCGGACGCGCAGGCTCAGTGGCCATGGCTCATGGGCCCAGCTGCTCCACGGCATGTGGGATCTTCCCAGACCAGGGCACAAACCCGTGTCCCCTGCATCGGCAGGCGGACTCTCAACCACTGCGCCACCAGGGAAGCCCCATTCTCCTTATTCTTATTCAACATAGCATTGGATGTCTTAGCCAGTGCAAAAAAGCAAAACTGAAAAGGAAGAAATAAAACTGCCTAACTAGCAAATGACATGATGGTCTATATAGAAAATCCCAAGGATCTACCAAGAAAACCCCAAGAACTAATAAGCGACTTCAGCAAAGTCACAGAATATAATA